CCCCCCCCCCCCCCCCCCCACACCCCACTATACAAAAGTCTGTAACATTATGCGACTTTGTGAAGCGATATCTTTGGTCATCTTTAGACGTACAACCTTAAACTTAAATTGACTAATTTTATGGCGTTCTAAGGGTTCTAAAAGAACAAAAGGGCGAGCTAAGAAACAATAATGGATTGGTCAAAATGAACGTTTTATACCCCCAATAAATTAAACATTCCCGTATGAAATCAAAGACTACAATTTTCTGATACAAATATGGTGAATACAAATTTTGAGTGTCAGTGTTGTGACCATTCAATTTACATACTCAAATAATATTTTTTTCACGGCTTAGAGAATGTCTGGTAATGTAAAAAGGAGTGGCATAGACGCCTTAAGTCCGCGGGTGGCCCCACCCCGTGTATTCTGCGGCAAGTGTATGACCGTTTTCTCTAGTGGTATTTGTTAAGTATTTATTGGTAAACTCCGGGCTTTTTTTCTTTGGTTTCTGTAAGGCAATAAATAGCGGCTTCATCAGCCAATAAAAAATAGATCCCTTGATCATTTTTCTCCCTCCCTGTGCGTCTTCGTGTATTAACATGTGTTTAAGAAATCATCTTTTGTACATTTATGCAATTTTAGTCTAGAAATCCACGCACGGGAAAATGGTCTAGCTCTTGCAGTATTTATTGCTTCCCCTTTTCCTTTGTTATGGCAATTTGTAGTGCCAGATATTAAGCAGAAACGAAAAACTGTCATAACATTTCCCGTTTTTAGTTTCCCCCTTGATATAAAGATACAATTTTTCAAGTGTTAAAGCGTATGCTTTACTTAAACTTGCGTAATCGATGTCAAACGGTTATAAGAGCTCTCTCAGTATTCCCGAAAATTTCATTTATTCGTTTGCCTTTATTTTTTACATAAATTACTGTCGCTGGTTTGAAGTGATTTAATCGATCACAGTTACGTTTGACACTGTGTGGAATGTGAATTTCAGTTTATTCAACCTGTGTTAGTATATTTACACCCACCTGACTTCTTTTTATCAAATTGTGGACCTCTTTTTCATGCTTTTCCGTGTGAAGTATTGTCTCAAGTGGTAAACTTTCAAAGATTTTACGGAGAGTTCAAGAGCGTATTACCGTATTACATCAAAATTTGCCTGGGTTTTGCAAATTTCTATCGTTTGACCACTTTGAAGTAACGGTGACCTTCAGGCAATAGAGAGATTAAGTATCGTATTTACGGCATTCAGCAACGATGGTCACGTGACCTTGTTCGCCTTATGCATTTCCTAACTAAGGACGAATGTTTTCTCCTCGGTGTGTAACGTTAAGGGTATTTAACAATTATTCCACGAGGGCGCGTTGGATATGAGATGATAGATAGCCAACGAGGCGCGTAGCGCCGAGTTGGCTATAAGTATAAAAAAAAATTGGTTCCGCTGACCAGAAAGCTATCAAATACATGTAGCCATAGTAGAGGAGACTGGTTAGGAAACCTGGCAAACATCAAAGTTGAAAACAATGGTGCTGTAGGTTATGTTGGAAGCTCCCTGACCGTGCACAATCCTTTGTTTTCTGTTCACAAATTATGACTGAATAAATTAAATGCAATGTTTTTATTGGTCAATAACTTCAAACTGATAGAAATGCTATTGAACGTTGTGCACCGTCAGGTCCAAAAAAGCTAAAAAAAAAACGATAACAAAGGGTTACCTACCATTCCACTTCTAACTTTCGATAACATCATTGCTATGTCTAATTCACATTTTCAAGAAAATCAACTCGATTATTGATCCAGTCAAACCCCTGTAATAAGGAAACCGGGTGACACGAATGGCAGGAGGCAGTTTGGCCAAGTGGATAGAGTGGTGGACTTATTATGTGAAGGCTCTAGTTCAAGTCCTCAACCCGGATTTTATATCCATAGTCCTGACTTCAATTCCTCGCCCACCCGTCACAAAATGCTTTGCCTCCTACCAGCTGAGGTTGTTATTATTGTTATGTTTCATTTGAATTATTTATTTCATTATCCCTGAAAAGCCCCATAATGGAAGAGACTAATTTAAGTATATATCATTATCATGATTATCTTTGCCCCAGTTGTTGAAAAAAATTCTTGAAACGAAGCCAACCTACCCTCCTCAAAGTGGAAACGTCGTTCGGAACGTTATATTAGGTTCTGCCTTACCTAAGTTTCTGTTACTCGGGCTTCAATGCGTTGAATCCCGGTAACTCGAACTTTGAAGGAAAACGAAAAACAGTTCGAGTTATCGGGGTAATTTCAGTAAAAGTTTGATCAAGGGAAAGGAAATTTAGTTCGAGTTAGCGTGGATTCGAGCTATCGAGGTTTTACTGTATATACACATAGGAGCTCGTTTTATTTGGGTTTCACTATATGAAGAACAGTTTACAGACCATTGACGCCGTGTTTCATCGGGACTTGGCTGAAGTGTTAAAACAAGTTAAAGGCAATGCAATATTGTACATTGCTGTTTCATTTTATTATGATACATTACGTGCATCTTTACAGCTTTATTTAAAAGCATTTGCAGTGGCTTGCGGGGCAAAATCCAGCTGCACAGTTGGTCTCGCACCATGCATCCATGCCAGGCAACTGGTCATAAGGTGGTACTGCGACACAACCACCATTAGGTCCTGATGTACCTGGTTCGTTGGTCGGTGGTTTTGGAGCTGATGTGGTGACTGGGTTTGGCTTCACAGTTGTTATAGGGCCTGGCGCAGGAGTGTTGGGAAGTGAAGTCTGCACCGTAGGACGAGGTGATGGGACGTAGCCACCCAAGGACTTTTTGACGGAGTTTATCAGGGGGTAGGGACCTTCACCACATTGACTGCCACTGAAATCATCTAAATCAAGGGCCCAGAACATAACACCCTTGAGACCTTTTTTCTCGACCACCTCTTTTACCTTATAATAAAGGCTGCGTGGATCATCAAAGCCTACCCAGGTGGTGTCGCTATAACCATAAGGAGCCATAACTGCGTTGTCTGTGACGACATTCAAACCCATCTTGCAGATCTCGTAATACGCCAGAAAACCTGCTTCGCGGGTGTATGGACCTTTGATGGGGTTCTGCCAGTCGTGCTTAGGAGCACCAAGGCCATGGTTATTGGGATCTTTCAACCTGAATGCTCTCCCGTATGTCCCCATTCCAAGAGCAATCTTCTCTGCTGGGAATCCGTTGTCGATCCAATACTGAGCCGCGAATGGAACGTTGAGCTTGTCTTCTCCTGACATGGCTGTATGATGCCCTGTCACTGAGTCCCAGTTACCGTGTAGGTCATAGGTCATCAGGTTAAGAATATCCAGAAGTGGACCGAGCTTGTTAACCTCGTAGGCTTTTTCGACTGTAGTATAACCAGCTGCCACAGCGGCGGTCAGCAGCAGACGAGGCTTTCCAGTAGCAGCAGCTTCAGCCTTGAAAGCATTTAACAGTTCCTGGCAGAGAAGGGTAAACCTCTGTTTATCCCCTGGGGTCGAGCCTCCTCTTACAGCGGGATACTCCCAGTCCAGGTCAAGACCATCAAAGCCCCACGTCCGCAACATGTCAATTGCTGAGTCTATAAATACCTAGCAATAGATGATAAATGTTAAAAGAAGCAATCAGTATTGTAAAACTGAATTTTTTGACCAAATTGACTTTAAAGCATAAATAAATAGGACGAAAAAAAAAAGAAGAAACGACACTTGAAGTTAGAGCCCTTTCCCATAAA